TAAAGTGAATTTAAGCTGCACTTGAACTGTATTTTTGAAATAAAATATCTGAAGTATTTAATATTGTCTTGATATTTTGTTAAACTTGGTTACTTTGCTTTATATCCAAAAATTAAAGTATGGTGGGTTTTCAACGTTGAAATGACATTGAAACTTCAACGTTGTGCCAACGTTGAAGCTGCAACGTTGTATCAACGTTGAAATTTCAACGTTGTTTCAACTTTCAAATCCGAATATAAATCCAACCTTATTTCAACGTTGAAATCTGACCATAATTCAACGTTGAAACAACGTTGATGTGCCTGCTGGGTATCTTCTTCAAACACGCATACTGTCAAACTCTCTCTCTCTCTCTGCTGTAACTTCTGCAAAATATAATAAACACAATGTGCAAAGTGATATGAATAAATTGTGAGATTAAAGTAAACAGAGAGCTAGATTAACGGATTTTTCTGAAAACAATTCTCAAAGGTTCCAAATCACGAAAACTGATGACATTTCAAATCAGACCACACTCGTTACTTAATTAAAAAATCATCTATGACATACACTCTATAAAACACTAATTTAAACCAAATGCAACTCAAAATAATACTGACCAACTATCAATAATCCATATTTCCAATAAATTAAGAACACTTTGAACTTTTTACAAACAAAGCCGCTTAAACATAGACAAAACTAGTGATATTGCGGGAAAACAAGGGAAACAACTCAAACAACAAAAAAAATATATCAAGACACCTGAATTATCAACACTGTTACACATCATGAAATCCAAATAAGAATTCCAAAACAGATTACATTAAGTTCAAATAATATTGGTAAGTTTTCTGTACCTACTTTTAGAAAATGATGAGATCAGCTTTCACATACAAATATAGCGTCGAAAACTTTGTTTTGGTACGAACTACTTCCTTACGCAAAGTTAACGCGAATGAATACTAATGATATTTTTTACTGATTATATCCTGAAAACATGCAAATAATATACGATAGAAATAACACAATCAAAAATGAACTACTGACAATTCAAAATCTTATCACTTGTGTGTGACAAGAAAATCTGTGTAGAACTACTTTGCGTTGTTCGGTACCCATTCTTCTATTGAAATCCCGCAAATTGTGATAGAACTGTATTCACTGCTAACGCAGCGAATACAAAAACGATATTACACTAGTGTAATAACACTTTGACGTGACGTCATTTGCGCTATGTTAAAGCGCGCTAATGTTAGCGTTACTCTATAGGCGCGTCATTGAAAAATTACTCATTTTAACAGTTTACTTTTCTTATTTTATATATGTGATAAATAGAATATTATTATTCGTGTAGTTTCAATACTAAATTTATTAAACTCGCTGAATAAAACAATATTATGCTCGCCAGAGGCTCGCATAATATGATTTTATTCAACTCGTTTAATAAATTTAGTATTAAACTACACTCATTCAATATCCTCTATATATAACACCATTTATGAACCGCCACGCGAGGAATAACAAACTATCAAATTGTGTTTAATGGCCATACCATACTATAAGGTATGGCCTCTGTTTATTGTTTTAACCAACAATACTTAAACATGTGCAAAGAATAGTACATACATCAATATTATGCAAATTAATACAATATCGAAAATACACATGTAGGAATAATAATTAATCGAGTTCTACTATAATAGTAAGAAATGTGAGGGTTTCGTAAGAAAAACGCCATAAAAGCTAGAATTAGACTAGCTTTTCCCCACATTTCACTGCATAGAAGAGAAGACCAAGGTTAATGATCTTGAAACTTTAACCAATAAAGGGCTTATTTAACAGAGAATTCCCGAAGGTATAAAATTGGTTAATGGTATTAATATTATTATTATTTTTTTTTTTTTCTTCTTCTTTTTTTAACTGAAGCTAACCCACCTATGATATTTAATGAAAAAATAATCAAACATATCATTTGTCACAAGCCCCAGCAAGTGACCCGAATACATATACACACAATGTTATAACTATTGTCACCAGCCCAAGCAAGTGATGTTCATTATGTACAAATTAAAATGTTGACATTTTGTGTTGACTGCCTAGATCGATATGCCACAAAAATATTAACAATTTTAATAATGGTATTAACAATTTTAATAATGGATTGGTCCAGATTACACCAGCAACTAAAAGTCTTTAAATTAGTTAACAATAAAGTCTTTGCATCATTATAAACAATGTTCAGCATGATACCGGCCGTCTTTATTGTCTAATAATAGATTATGATATAATCAAAAGATTAACCAATAAACTCCAAATACGCTTTTATATAGAAAACAATTGTAGTAAACATTATAATAGATGACACAAAGTCGAACAACAAAAACCAACAATTGTAACAAACTTTATAAAAATGACACAAAGTTGGACAACAAAAACACCCACATTTACACATGTATGTAAAAATATAGATATTGTATATATAATATTGTATATAAAGATATTGTATATATCATATAAACTACTGACCATAAATATTTTTCAAATCGTGGTCGACTCGCCAGGAAAAACCATAGTCTGGAAACCTGTGCCCTTTTATCTTGTGTCTAGTACCACTTGATGTAGGGCTACATCCTTGAAAAATATTTTACAAACCCTTTACTTCAAGTAAGTAGGCTGCTAAACATAAAAGTTAAGTTAATGCATTTTGAGTACAAAATGATAATATGCAAAATTAGAAAGTAAAAACAAAAACAAAAGGAAACTTATATAGGTAAAAGTCCAAAAGTGTACGATTTGCGCGCCTCCTGCTGTTATTGTGCTGTCATAAGATCAAAGAAATATACAGTTGTATATATTTCAGACATATAAAATAATCAGTTGTAAATTCTAGACATATAGAACAGATTAATTAACGTTACAGTATAAGCTTGAAATACATATCTTAAAGAAATTGGTGATGGTTACTAATAAAAACGAATTGTGACATAAAGATTACTTTACAATTTACAGACAAAATATAGATAATTATGAAAAATCTTGTTGTCTACATAAAAAGTATATACATATAAAAATACACTTACTATCACTATTAGTATTGTTCTTGAAAAACCAAGAATGTTAAAATTAGAGTCACTATAAACAGATCTTATCTTATCTTATCTCATCTTATCAATGTATATTTATCACAAACTGTTCTTAAGTAAACATGAAGTTCAAAATAAAGTTAGGATTAACGTGTTATTTATACATAGTTTATTATCACTCTTGTGCGTTAAACTACAAAAACATTTTGATTTGTTAAACTGATAAATTAAATTCAATATATAAGCTATAATTAACATTTAAGCAATACATAGTTAACATATACTTCAATATGTTAAACTAGTCTAACTGTGATTTAATTTATTAAGACATTTTATTCCTTAAGTGAATGCATAGTTTATTTTATTCCTTAAGTGAATGCATAGTTCGAAAAGAACATACAAACTTTAGCTAATTGTTAATTCAATTTACAAGTTAAAATTAACATTTAAACACTACATATTTAACATACACCCCAATATGTTAAACTAATATCTAAACAAGTACTGTCTCATAACAACATATTTATTAGGTACAGGATGCATAGTTTGAAAATAAAATACAATATAATTTTATAATTAATGTATACATTATTATTAATATTTAAACAACACATACATGTAGTTAATATACACCCCCATATGTTAAACTAGTGTCGTAAACTGGGATTATCGTAATGCTCACATATTCACTCTATTAGATTAAAATCTATTAAATTTGTAAATCGTTAATGCATAACTCTTGACAATGTTGTCAAATTAAATCAATTTCAACCAAAAAGTTATATCTTTCATTCTAGCATCTCATATTTAACATACACAATGATGCTGCAAATTAGAAATGTGTTATAGACACAATATCACTGTGTTACATACGTAGTCTGACAATTTAGGGAATGTTTTAACGTCAATAACGCATATTATTGCTAATATACTTAGAATACATCACAATATGTTTAAATGGTGTCGTAAATAAAACAACACATTTATTTATCAACAAATATGTGTTAAAATAACAATGTATAGTATTTCTAAAATTTATAAAGAAACTCGTGATTAAATGAATAACATATAATGTATATAACACTTTCGACGTTAATAATAAACACACGCTAGGATTGTAATTTTTCATAATCGTTACCATCTTATAAATTCAGTTGTACTGAATTAAATGAATATAATTCTTTAAATGCTTCAGAAGTAAGTTTCAGATTGATAAGTCTAACAAATGGACCTATTAAATGCCTATAAAATCATCCATACGATTTGTTACATGTGGTATTAATTAACACAGGTACTTAAACTACGCTACACTACAGTGATATTGATTACCCATCAACTAACATTGCATGTGTTCAATAGTACTATCAGCAGTGTTATGTAATATTGTAATGATTAGCATTTCTGCATTGCAGGCAGGCAATGGTATATGCTAAATTATGTAAATTATCAGACTTGCATGTAACTTGTAGCCGATATCGCAACGAGAACTTCCAACAAATAATTAATATTACAAAAAAATTCATTTGTTGAAATTTAACTAAATTGTTATTATGTTATTATGACAATCAGTCACTATAAAATATGAGTTTGTCAGTATAAAAAAAAAATGTGTTATTAATACTCTTTCGACTTTTAAATTTATGTCTAAATGAATTGTCTACTTATTACCATACACCCCAATATGGTAGCAGTGGGTAAAGTTCACAAGATATCACAGATCAGGTGTCAGTGTCTTAAAGTTGTAATCCAGAAAGTCTCACCAATGATATTGTATACATGATATGTAAAATTGTCAAACTCCTCAAGGTGCCTCATGTATTTTATCATGTACTTATATGAAAGATTTATGAAATGGTTCACACTCAAGAAATGTTAAAAAATTGAAATATTTGGAGTCGGTTTGTTTTTGCATCAGTTTTATTTTTAAAGAAATCGTTTTTTTTTTTTTTTTTTTTTTTTTATTTATTTTTTTTTTTTATTCCAAATGCTGGAATGTAAGAACAGTCATCTAAGTGTTTCCATCCGTCAGATTGTTTGTGGTCATGTTTAGGTTTTATTTCCTTTATAACAACTAATTATTCCCTGTATGTGGATGTCCTTCTTTAATGTTTTTGTGGTATAATCTCGTACACTGGTACTTCCGTAATTTTGTATTTACTAGTAGCTGTAAGCAAAGTTTGTAGATTCTCTTCAAGGCTCTCCTGTAAAATAAATGAGAGAGAACAAGTACCTTGTTTTTCAAACAAAAACATAAATTCATTTTCAAAGGTATATTCCCTTAACTGTTGTTTTACATAGCGGATATGTATGTCGGTAGTAATTGTATTGAAGTATAACGGTCAGTCGATACGAAAATAAAATAATAATAATTATAATAAAACTGCCATATTTTATTTATTTAAGGTTTTGTTATTCATAACAAAATCAAAAACACTGACTACTATTATAATAGTACCAGATTAATATAATAATCTGGTACATGACATGGAGGCATGGCCTTTGCCGCTGAAACATTAAATATCAATTCATTAGGAACTGACTACTATTATAATAGTACCAGATTAATATAATCTGGTACATGACACTGGAGGCATGGCCTTTGTCGGAAATATTTAAATTAAAAATAGTAACACTTTAAATTCTTAATAAGAATAAATCCATAATTTATTTAATTCGTAATTAATATATTAATATATGCTTATGTTTTTAATCATTTTAATTTCATGTTGCCATATATGAGATATCCACCCATTAAAATTCTGGCTATTATTAATTAATAACATTTTTATGATTCTTATAAATATATATATATATATGTGTATTTTTTTTATTATTATTTTTTTTTATCTATTATTATTATTATTATATATATATATTATTATTATTTTTTTATTATTATTATTTACTTATATAACAAAATATATACATATATAGATATGTATTAAGTTTTAATACTTTGTTCACTTGTTTAATATGTATTCATTTTTTATTTATTTACTTTTGTATTTAACTATTTATTATCATTATTATTTATTTTTATCTTTTATTGTTTATGATCATTCTACTTCCATTTGCTTAACCATACTGATAAAGTAATTAGCTAGCAATACAATAAAGCATGGACATCTTAGGGATGAGAATGTATATCAATGCCTACATCAAAGAATTCACAGTTCAATGTTACTATTATCCTGTTTGATGATACCAATATCTCTGCAGGGGTACTGAATTAAGCATGAACAAAGTTTTATGACCCTAACTTACTTCCAAGGCATCTTGTATCTGGCATTAATGACCATGACAAATTACTGCCAGACAGACAATTTCTCTATCTTCCTCTTTCATAACCTAAGTGCTTATGCTATTTAAAAAGATATATTCACACATTAAGTAAGTAAACATAAATTTATGGCGGTCCAGTCATTAAATAACTTTTTTTTTTTTTTTTTTTTTTTTTTTAGAATGATGTTTAAGACTAATTGCTCAAAAAACAATTTATTAAAGCCTGCGCTAAAGCCCTAAAGACTCGCAGAAATTATAAAAACTTGTGCTAAAGCTCAAAAGCTCACAGAAAAATACAAACCTGTGCTAAAGCTCAAAGGCTCATAGAAAAATACAAAACCTGTGCTAAAGCTCAAAAGCTCACAGAAAAATAAAAACCTGTGCTAAAGCTCAAAAGCTCACAGAAAAATAAAAACCTGTGCTAAAGCTCAAAAGCTCACAGAAAAATAAAAACCTGCGCTAAAGCCCTCAATGACTCGCAGAAAAATAAAAACCTGTGCTAAAGCTCAAAAGCTCACAGTAAAATAAAAACCTGCGCTAAAGCCCTCAATGACTCGCAGAAAAATAAAAACCTGTGCTAAAGCTCAAAAGCTCACAGAAAAATAAAAACCTGCGCTAAAGCCCTCAATGACTCGCAGAAAAATAAAAACCTGTGCTAAAGCTCAAAAGCTCACAGTAAAATAAAAACCTGCGCTAAAGCCCTCAATGACTCGCAGAAAAATAAAAACCTGTGCTAAAGCTCAAAAGCTCACAGAAAAATAAAAACCTGCGCTAAAGCCCTCAATGACTCGCAGAAAAATAAAAACCTGTGCTAAAGCTCAAAAGCTCACAGGGAAAAAAAAAAAAAAAAAAAAAAAAAAAAAAAAAAAACCTGCGCTAAAGCCCTCAAGACTCGCAGAAAAATAAAAACCTGTGCTAAAGCCCAATGGCTCACAGAAAAACAAGTTATTTAAGCCTGCGCTAAAGCCCTAAGGACTCGCAGAAAATATAAGAACCTGTGCTAAAGCTCAATAGCTCACAGAAAAACATGTTGTTTAAGCCTGCGCTAAAGCCCTAAGGACTCGCAAAAAACATACACACCTGTGCTAAAGCTCAATGGCTCACAGAAAACATGTTATTTAAGACTGCGCTAAAGCCCTAAGGACTCGCAGAAAATATAAAAACATGTGCTAATGCTAAATGGCTCACAGAAAATATAGCTGTGCTAAAGCACAATGGCTCAAAGAAAACAAACATAATAATTTGAATAAAGTTAAAGATCTGTGCTTAATGTGATATGCACAGAAAGTGTTCCAAACAATTGAACATTATAATGGTAGACATTAAGTGATTGTGATCATTGTCTGTTTATATTTCACTTTGGAGTTTTTTGTTGTTTTTTTTTTTTTTTAAATTTTGCTAAAGACTATTTATGGCTTATAAAAATTTATAAAATTTCTGCTATAGCCCAATGGCTCTTAGACAACAATAATTAAGTTAATTGTCTCTGTAAAGACTATACTGTAATTATTATCTTCATGATAACATAAATAATATTATGAATATAGTGACTCTACAAGCTATAATATTCTATTCTATGATATCATATTATTTATACTGGCTTTATTCCCTTCCACCTTCTTATCAACAGACAGGTTTTATGATGAACTAATATACCAAAAAAAAAAAAAAAAAAATTAACAATACTCCCCTACGACCGATCCTTGATTACCGATCTAACAGCTGACATGATGGCATGTCTCAAGGACCTGTAAAAACGTCGCTGTCCATTGTGGTTAAGGTGGATTCCATCTTTCCGGAATATGGGAGTCTGTGAGTAAAACAGCCTTCTGTGCTTCCAGAATCTTGCTTTATCATGCATATCCAAAAGAGTTTGCAGGATTGATACTGAATGCAAGCGTTTGTGTTCAAATAAATCTGACGTAACTTTCGTTGGTCGAGCACGGGTGAATATTTCGCACACTACAACTTTCTCTACAGCATACTCCTGAATAATTAGAGCTGTAATTTCTTCAATTCTATTGGCAATGTCCAGAGAAGATTTTACTGAATCGACGTCGTTACCTCCTAATTGAAGAAGTACGATGTTTGGCTCAACTTGTCTCAGAAAATCCCCAAATTTTGAGCTGAAATACGTAACTGCATCACCATCACATACTCTAAAGCCACCTATACCAAAGTGGACCACGGAACACTCTTCCAAATCGTAGTTTGCGGGATATGAATTTTGTTTAAAGTCTTCATGCAGCCGACGAATAAAACTGTGACCTAAAACAGCCACACGTATTCCAGTTTGAATACGACCCAATGCCATATTCCCGTTTTGACTCGGTGACAGTCGGCGATATAAACAGATAAAGAAAACAAAGTTTTTAAACAATCGGTGGTAATCACACCAAAGAAACAAATATATCCAACCTGGTACTTTCCAGATTAAGTTTTGTGTCCTATGATATCCACAAATGTCCGTAAAATTAGCTATATAAAATCACTAAATATCAAATCACTTTCTCTAAAAATTTTTGCTTCCTCTTTCTACGCTTCTTAGTAATTGCTAACTGGTTCAAGACGATTTTATGTAGGGCCATTATCCGTTCCGCCGTCTCTACGAACGGCTAAAACCCGTACCTCCCGTGGCGGCGCATAAAGTTCGCTGATGCTATTCGGCATAGCTTATGTTTATATGTTAAACGTCTACCCAGAGAAGGAAGTGGTGGTGACGGCATCGGATGTGGCAATGATGGTGCCGGCGGTGGTGTGGTAGCGGTGGTGGTGGTGGTGGTGGTGGTAATGGTAATGTTGGTGTTCCTAGTAAGAAGGATAATTGTTTCAATATACATGCTTTGCTTATACGTTCAAATATCACTTGCACTGAACGATAATTATGTTCTTATGTTCATCTCCACTTTGTACCATTTTGTAAACGTGACTTTAAACACTTTTTTATATTATTTACTGTATTCATTTTTAATCACGTTGACAGTTATATATATATATATATATATGGAATATACATGTATTTTGATGATGTACTTTGTACAATTCCAAATAAAATATATGTATGTCTGCCTGTCTGTCTATATGTCAAAACACAACATGGTCCATTTTGTTTTTACAATAAGCCAGTGTCCTATTTGCCAAGAGAATTTCTCGAGGCATGACGCCATGCGCATGCTGAGGCATAATAAGCATGTCCATAACAGCGATAACTCTGTTCAAAGTTTCTTCACACTAAATCAAAAACAAAACCTATTTTCTATGGTTGTTTCAGGACCTAGCGGGAGCGGTTAAACAGAATGGACGAGAATATTGGTTTAATCTAACATTATACATACATCAATCACATTTTTGAATTAAATGATGTTTCGGACAATGGCAGACTCTGTACTATGAACTTCAGAGTAGAATTCCCTGGATAGAATTTGTTCAAGGTATTTGAGACTACTTGAGTAATTTCGAGTACATCGACGTTCGTAAAAGAAACCTTATTGTGTTTGATGTTTTATGACAGAAGAAAGACTATTAAATATATCATTTCAAGACGCAAAATAGGATCCATAGAGGTGTACGATCATAGCCAGTAAAAAATTAATGGGTGCCTTACATACTGGACCCAGAGAAATGGTATCACCATTTTAAAGATTTAAGAGACCGTTACGGAAAGATTTGATGCGCACAACGTCCTATGGTCAATATGGTTAGCCCCGTAACACAGGCAACTGATATTGCAAAGTCGGAGGTTAAACGATTACAGGATTCTAATACACAGGTACCGATCCGTAAAAAGCGTAAGATTGACTGGAATCACCTGATATTCTAAATATGAACAATTATGAATTATATATATTGCAAAAATACCTGACGACAGAGTGCGCTTCAGACCAATTACGCGTTAATAGGGGTCATCTCGTGATTTCGAACACAGATACGAGTGATGGACCAGGTATACATTGGGTGGTATTCTATTTTCCTAAGCACGGACCTTACGAATATTTTGACTCAGTTGGAAATAGCCCTGAAAGTAATCTTTGAGAAGATTAGGAAATCTCATGTATATTGGAAGACTACAGAATTTTTCATCAAAAGTGACTCTACTGCGCATACTACGTCATAAAATTATATCAGGGACAAACTATGAAAGGCATTATCAAAAAATTTAATCCACGTCAGAAAAGGTACAATGATCGCTTAATAGTGACTAAAATGATAAAAATAATCAATAAACAATAATCATGACTAGATTGACAAAACAAGTGTATCCCCAGTCATAATAATCATAAACCATTGTGACAGTATCGTATAAAACATGAATTAACATGCTTTTGCTTGGTTAATAAAATTAAAAATGAACATTTCTTTTGTTTTTATTTATTGAATTTATTCCGGTTTATTTTGCATTTCTGTTTTTGGAATCGAGCACTATTTGTCTTGGATACCGAAAATGACGTCCCGGCCAAATGGTATTGCTTCACTTATATTGATGTTATGTGATCTTATACATGTATAGCATTTTTAAAAACCTAATGCAGTAGGGGCTATTTTGCATCTGTTGACCTCTTTTTTTGGTACTTGTAAGATTGTAAGTACCGTATGCAATGTGTAAATTACTTCCTTTGTTCACTTCACAATAGTTTACTATTAAATACATTTTCCAAATTGTTATGAAAAATAAGCATGGATCTTGAGGCATGCTGCTTTTACGATATCATAGCGTTATGTTTAATCATGTAACTATTAAAAGGAAATTGTGACATTACATCTATCAATATCATAATTTATTGGCGTCATTCAACTCGTTGCTATAATTACTTTACTGAAATTAGCTCATTATGTCAGAATCAATCAATTTTTTATTTAATTTTACCTGATTATCATCCATTTCCTGCTTTTTTAACAACTTAAGATGTCATAATATATACTTGTGACCAAAACTGCCCTTTTCAATAAACGAGTTTAACAGCAATATTTTTTATAAAACAAGACAAAAAAGTTTCGGTTTTTTAAAGCAACATTTCAAGTGTCTTACATACACGTCCACTACTAAGAACACTTGTCTTATTTGGAGTGTCGTAATATTAAACAATGATATCCACATCCTAATTCTATTTACATTAAAGTGTTTTTTTTCTGATTTATATATGTCCGTCGCGACATGGTATAATGGATGAAGAGAAATACATGGAAAACATTTTTGCCCACCCCGAAATAAAAAACCCTTTCAAAAAAATTTGAATTTGATTATTTTTTTAATTACCGCAAGTAAGAAACCCCCTGAAAGTTTTTCCTTTTTTTGCGAGGACACTATTCAAAAACCTTTTGAGAAATTTAAAATTTAAAATTTTGGGTCAAAAAATTTTTCCTTTTTAAAATTCTTTTTCTTAGGATACTTGAAATATGATTGAACAAGTGTTTTGTCAAGGGTTCAAGATTACCCTAACAACTTTATCAGCGCATTTTATCTTAAAAAAATAGTTTAACTGCGGAATATAGTCATTTTTGCTTTGATTTTTTGGTGCAGTAATTGTCTTTGAATTGAGAAATATAGATTACAGAAAAAGATACACAATACTCGTATAACGAAATCATGAATCATAAATTAATACGTAGGCCAAAAAAGTTAACGACACTATGAGTGATGTACTTTGAGTAATATGGGTTTGATCTCACTAAATAAAAACCTAGACTTTCACTTATAAGTAAAAGCTATTACAACGGTTTGAGTTTATGCTTATTAGTGAAAGTCTGAGTTTACTCATGATAAAAACTTGAAGTATATCACTCATATTTTCTTTTTCCAAACAACAACGCTAAATATTGACAAAATGAAATGTACGCTTCATATCGTGTCGTTAAGCAACAGTAATGTTTGAATTGGTAGCTTAGTGAGCTTTAGATTAGAGACTCTTAAGCTAATAAACATTTTTTTTATTATCATTTTAAAATGTCATTATAATAAAAGGTAAAAACAACGTTAAATTGAAATTAACAGGATTCACCATAGTAGCATAACAATTTTTTGGCATAAACAAACCTTTTGGGCTGACTGCCCTTTTTTTTTCTTAATCAATTTTTCCCTTTCGTTACTATTTAAAAAGACAAAGGCATACATATGATGCCCTGGAAAACCCAAAATTTCTTTTTGTCCTTTTAAGGGAATTTAACCTCGTGACATTTTAAAACTTGTTTCAAAAGTTGAATTTAAAATTTAAATAAATGTGAATGAACCCATTAAACGGCCCAAAATATTCTACAAAATTTTTAAAAAAAAAACGAATAGGAAATTTTTTACCAGCCAACATTTAAAAATTTAAAAAACTTTGGGAAAAAAAGTGATCCCTCGGGAAACATTAATCACAACAAAAAATGAACCCCTAAAGGGTTGCAGAAATCGCTTAGATTGAGTATGTAAAATGAGGGATAATGAATAAGTGCCCAAAATCCCCCACCCCCCCCCCCCCCCCCTAAACACCGACTTGAGCGGGACTCAATTCAAAAGCTTAATAGTCTGGGACAAAGATCCCGAAGGGCCCAGAAAAATTTTAACAAAACTGAAGTGAAGAACGGGGCAACTTTAAACGCCACACGGCCCCTTGACACCTGCTTTGTGAAGTATAAACATCTTTGGAAACAAAGTGATCCCTTTGGAAGCATTTAAAAACAACAAAATTACATAAACATGCCCCGGGAAAAACATGGGGTAAAATTTATGATGGTTTTAAAGAAACAAAAATTTGTTCGTCGTAGCAAAGAACGTTGTTTAGTAATGAATACCCTAAACAATGAAACCACTGGAAAGGACCCTGTATTTTACGATTTGTTAGTTTTTTATAAACCTAACATAAACAATGACATCGGGTATCTAAAGTAATAAAAGTTTATTCTGTGACACAATCCCTGGGAGCAACAACCACCTCTCTACAACAACCAGGACTGTCCGGCTGTTGGCCGTTGTATGGTGGGGTTACAATGTACTCTCTTTTTTTTAAGTTTTTTTCTATTTTTTGGGTCGTCAGACAAAACAAATAATGGGTAGCGAAATTTCAGACCCTGATGCGTAACTGCAAATGCCCCCAAAGTAGTCATCTTTTTGAAGCGGTTACTTCCCCTTTATATGTACAATAACGCCGAAGAATTCAGGGGAGGGGGATTTTTTTTACTGCGTAAAGATTGTTCAAATGAGAGGCGCATTTAATTTTTCAAGCAAAATGTTTCCTGAATGGTCGAAGATTTCTAATATTGTTTTATTCTTTATAGAAAACATGCTTATAGTAAGCTCCCATGGTTATTTTAAATCTGGTTAAACAACATTTTTCCCTCGAAAAAAATAAGAGTTACCCAAAACCCCAATTAAAATAATATGATTTTCTTCAGGCATTTAAAATTTTTAACTTCAACCCTGGGCCCCAGGGGTTTGCACGCCCCGCTTAGAAACGAGAGGTCTTTGGGGTTTCAAAAACTCAGTTAAGGAAAATTTATTTTTTTTTTTAAAATTTTTTAAATTTAAAAAAAACATTGAATTTAATATCTTTTTGTTTCCAAATTTGTCTTTATAGCAAATTAAAATACAGTTTTAAAAAACTTTGGGAAAACCCTTTTGGGGGCACTATACTGAATTCTGAGACCTAAACAAAAAATTTAGCCCTTCTGTTTCTTTTATTTATTTAAATTTTAAAAAATTGGAAAATGCTCAACTCAGAGTTTTGTGTAAAATCGCCTTTAACCTTCATTGTTTATTTTTTATTTTTTCGGAAAAGAATTTGAAGTGTTATACTTAGCCACTTCCTGTTTTTCAGTGTCAATCTGATTTTTTCCATACGAGTAACAACCCACACTTGTTTGGTTTCGTTGTATACCGTAACAGGACAACAATGAACTATCTTAATTTTTATTCTCAAATTTTGATTTTTGTTGGTTATTTATTCATATCGTTAAAAGATATCACGTTATTTAATTGACACCTTTTATATACAAATCAATCTAAACAGCATACTATTATGACTGGATGTAACAAATACGAATTTCTTCAAACGAAATTTTATAAAATTTATTTACTTCTCCTTGCCTATAAATTGCTTTGATTTAAAAATACTAACAAATGTGCAAATTCATCATATGAATAAGTCAGATAAGACTGTTCATATATTATTTAATTCACATAAAAATTTATTCTTCTACTTTTTGCATCGATTTTGTTTATTTGCTAGAAAGCGCTACACGAGATACTTCTTCCGCTGCTATGTTAATATTTTTTGCATGTTGTTCCTCTTATATTATGTGCAATTTTCACAAGATACTATTGAAAATTATACTATTCAAAACAAAATACATGTCCATAGTTTCACATTTGCTTTTTACGTAAGCATTTTTTTATGTAAACGCAATCTATATATATTGCAAAATGGCATTTAAAATTTTAATAGATAAACATTTGGTAAAACAATTGAAAGGTGTTTGCTGTTTTATTTTATACGTTCAGATATCAATGCTCGTGTTGAAACACTTGAGCGACGATTTAGCGACTTTGAAAATGCAACCAATTTTAAAGAGAAAAGAAACGCCGGTGAAACTGAATCAAAGGTGACTGACACAAACAAAACTATGAAGAAGAAAAACTTGGAGATTCAATCTATGATGAGAAAAACTTTGAAGGAAGAAAAAACTGAAAGATTGAAATTCTTTAATTCTGTGAAAAATCAAATTGAAAAAGTGGACGAAAGAGTCTCACAGTTCATGAACACGACAGATGCTTCTCTAAATGAACAAATAAGGAAATCGGAATCAGGGCTAAAAGAAATTCGCAACGAAGTGTCTGATATAAGAGAAAGTATAGATAAAGAAGTTTCTGCTGTCGACAAAGGTATTGTAGATGATGTGATAGCGATGGTGAAAAAGTCCACAACGGATTTAACGAAGTTTCAAGGGCAATTAAAAGAACATCTTAAAACCTCGGACAGTCGATTCGGTACTGTTGCTCAAATTAGTAAGTAGAATGAGTATTTAAAATCATTATTTGAGTTGTTATGATTGTGTTGATATTAAGACAACAATTAGTTTTATGACAGATGCATTGTATTAAAGATGTCTTATAAAAATCCTAAAGGAAAACTGTCTAAAGTCTTAAAAAGTTTATTTTTCCTGCTTGCACAGTGTTAAGATGAAATAATCAGTTGTGGTTAAATTAAACTTGAATTCTTTGAATATCTCAAGTAAATAGTAAAACAGACTTGATGTTATTTTAGTCTACATTATACAATATACTTTCTTTCAGTCGGAGCTTGTCCAGGCGGTAAATGGCAACGATACGGAGAAAAGTGCTTTCAGTTTTACACTGACAGCCGAATTACATGGTTTGAAGCCAGAGTAAGTTTTTTTCTTATTATCGTATCAATTGACGGAGTATCAACTGACGGATAACACGCGTTCATGCATACTGAAGGAATACATTCATTAGTTCTTTAAGATGAATTACTATAAAAGTAGACATATCATAAGAATTATTCAGTCTGTTCATGGTTTTCATGGTTACGATGTATCTATATAAAGCTTGAGAGACAAATGTTTGTGTTATTAAATTTGATTTTTTCATAATCATTCAAAAGTCATAACAAGCGTCGAGTTTTCTTCCATTTCATTTTAGACTCTTGCAAAACAAAATTATCTTTTATGATGATGTTGTAGATAATTAAGATGATGGGGATATTGTCAATGTTTTATTTTTTAGGACACATGCAGGAGTATAGGAGGCGAACTCGCAAGAATAGGGAACAAAAGAGAAAATAATTTTATAAAGAATACTATAAAGAGATCATGTTTGTATTTTTCAATTTTCGCAAATCCGTCGCATGTGTATCGGGATCTAATTTTTAGTAGATATACATGTAAGCTTTTCGGAAAGAACATTTCTTGCCAAACAAAGACGTTTAGTAGCACTTTTTTCTACACATTTTTGCAAGGTGTTTTAAACAAACTATCATTTTACCAAACTAATACGTACTTTTATGAGAAAAATGTTACCAAAATTCCGAGAGATTACGATCAAAGCATCTTTGAATCTTTATCGTATATAATATCATACCAACATACGAAATAAACTTCAAAACGAATGTCTGTGTTAAATAAATTTACAGAAATGTTATTTTAAGAATAACAATAAAGTCAGGAGCGAAGATAAGGGATGTAAATCTTTCACAAACTGACATTGTTTTCAATCATGCAAATCAAATAGAAGTATTTGCTGAATATACCTGAACAGGAAAGTTTCAGGTTTTCTTATCCTTAGATCTCTGAACATCGTCTTTCATGGAGTAGTTAATCCTTGAAAGTAGCATGACAAGTATCAATCAGATTCACATAATTATTGCTATATCTTACCTGATGATATAATTATAAAATGAACATTTCAAAAATAATGCACCAGTCAACCCTGAGAACATGCGGGGAAAAGTAGGGAAATGCGTCGAGATTTTGACGTCCGTTTATCCTCGTTCTGTTGGTTTAATGATGTTTTCACTTATCATCTTACTGTCTCAGCAGTGTGATGCCTTCACTGGTAATTTAAAAGTCGGTCTGTCAAAGACCCTGCTATTATATTGGGTTAGAGTTGGTTTAACAATTGTCAGATTCTTAACTAAGAGATAAAACAGAACTTGACACCGTATGATCTATACAATTTATCTGTTAGTACTTCTTTTCAGATCCAGTTTCTTACTGGTTTGGATTACATGACACACAATCAGAAAACTTCTGGCAGTGGAGTTCGTCGAATGGAACTTACAGTCTTGGAAAATTCTCAAACTGGGCGCCTGATGAACCAAATAACGCTTTTGGAAATGAGGACTGTAGTGTAATATGGGGTAATGGCGAATGGAACGACATTGATTGTTCGCTTAAGATGACATTCATTTGTGAAACTTTTTTATTTTGACATTATTAGATTTTGCTGTCAGACATTCATTCAGAAATCTTTCGTTAATGTAAGCATGTCTAATACCTTGTTTCTTTGTTTCCTTAAACAACTTCTGTAATATATTTTACGAATCACTTTATTTGTAAATTTTGTTTATCCACTATAATGACATAAGTGACCGGACGATGATACTATCGAACTATAAATTACTTGCTCCCAGCCGCTATACATTTGATCCATGTTTTGGAATATGATTTACTTTTTTGTCAATTAGCTTTTTTTGCTACTTTCCGGAACATCAGTGGTTTTACTTCAAGCCTTTGAAAAAGATTACAAACTTTGATTAATAATTTTAACAAAATTTATTCTAACCTTTTGTTCGATCATTAAATGCAAAATGTATTACACTATTATATAACATTACAGCTTTCCAAATGATGAATTCTTTATTCTCATTCAAATAGATTTAAGTATTTCATTATGTTGTTATTATTTACTTTACAAACTCTTGTGGTTTCTGTAACACCGACTCTTCCATATATCTTATCATTGTTGCAAATGGACATAAACTAAACTTGATACTGGCATTGAAATATGGCGGCTGTATAGTGTAATTGAAGTATCCCGTTGATGTACCGTTTCAAGCACATTTCATTTCTCTTAAATAAGAAAAGATTGATGCTAAAATTCCTCTTTCAAGGGAGCGTGTACCATTGATTAAGAATTCTTCTAAATCCAATGGAATTTGGATTTTAGCCAAATTGATCACGATATGTTATGATCACAAGACATCATGCATATAAGGTCCAAGAAGCTAACTCCAAAAGTAATAAATATAAGTTGTAAAAACTTGTTTCACAATCGGTCTGAAACAAATATGTTTACACTAAATAGTCATAATAATTTTGCATTTTGATTCTAAGGGAATCGTCTTTGTTAAATATGCGTTTAGTTTATGATGTGTGCACAACATTCATGAATTAAACTGATTTTTATAGTAAATTTGTTGGTAGATCTGTTTCGATTAAAACCGTCAAGAAACGTTATAATTGACTGTTTCGACTGAGAGATGGAACACTATTCTGAACATATCGTTTGACAAAAGAAACGTATTTATGAATGCATTTTATGAGACAACACTGTCATAAATATGTTCTTAAAGAGAAAAACGCTATCATGAGTATATTATTTCAAAGTAGGAATAAATTCAGGAACACATCGTTGATGACTATTATTGCAGGCACGAATGGACACCTAGCTGGGGGTGGAACCACCGTAATCTGGCTAGATAATCTCCTTTTATGAAAGAATCGTATTTGAACCCATAGCGGTAATGGGCAAGTGGTTTGCAGTCAATGACCTTAACACTCGGCAACGGTCGCCCCAACACTAGTGTTGACATTAATGCCATAACAAACGTTTAACGTTAAATAACAAAAAATGATATATATAAATTGTTTAAACTCAATGAATGTTCTCATTGAACAAAGATTTAAAGTTTAAGATTAAGTTTTATTACAATTTTCAATAGATCTACATTTGAACAACAAGATATGAAATAAATCATAAAATAGTTTGGCTGTTTATTTATTTATACCACATCACACGTGACCGGCTTCATAATATGATATAATAGCTTAAAAACTGTTTTTCATCAAAATACAATTTTATGATACCTCAAAATAATTTTGTCTTCTCATAATATAATAAGAGTTGAAATTGAAACCATGGTGTGTCAATGCTATGTTTACTTGACTTACCGGATGGTTTTGATATTGTTATATGTCGCATTGCCGCTAAATGTTGCACTTAGCTAAATATAGCAACATTGCCGTACATCGTAGGTACAGTCGTTAAAAATCGCAATGCATTCTGTCGATAAATATATATTTTTTTTTACCTAATTTCAACCAACAGAAATATTTAAACTAGTGAAACTTGATTTTGTAGACTTGTTTCAAACCATCATATATAATAAACAACAAGTATTGGTTTCAGCTTACTAATTGTCAATATTAGAACTTCGGTTCTAATTAAATGAACATGTTTTTTTCTGGTATGGTTTATTTTTATTGCTTGTCAACAGTTATTTTCTTTTTACTACTCGTTTGTGTAAAGTTCTTAATCATAACCCCTGGAGCAAAAATACGAATATCAGCCATAGTATATCACTTTAGACCTTACCGCTATATTTATTATTGAGGTGTGAAAATTCAATAGTGTAATTACTCAATTTCTTGGTCACTTGTAATAATGTATAAAGGCACTTCCAAAATAGATATAAATCAGAGCGGGCGCTGTGGTGCAGTGGTAACACTGTCTGACTACAAATCTAGGGGTTGCGAGTTCGATCCCCCGCTACTCCTCTAAAATTACTTACACTCTTTCGTACTCTGACTCACAGTACACTACTCACATACTGATCTAATACACATATGACACTGCTCACACACTGATCTGACACAAAGGACACTACTAACACTACTAACAAATTGACCTGACACACAGGACATTACTTACACACTGACATGACATACACAAAACACACAACTCAAACACTGACATATTATACACAACTCACAGACTGACATGATATACACAAGGCACTACTCATACACCGACATGATATACACAAGACACAAGTCACACACCGACATGATATACACAAGGCACTACTCATACACCGACATGATATACACAAGGCACTACTCATACACCGACATGATATACACAAGACACAACTCACACACCGACATGATATACACAAGACACAACTTACACACTGACATGATATACACAAGACACAACTCACAACCCGTATGATATATACAAGACACTACTCACACACTGACATGATATACACAAGACACTACTCACACACCGACATGATATACACAAGACACTACTCACACACTGACATGATATACACAAGACACAACTCACACACCGACATGATATACACAAGACACAACTCACACACTGACATGATATACACAAGACACTACTCACACACCGACATGATATACACAAGACACAACTCAAACACTGACATAATATACACAAGACACAACTCACACACTGACATAATTATACACAAGACACAACTCACACACTGACATAATATACACAAGACACAACTCACACACTGACATGATATACACAAGACACTACTCACACACCAACATGATATACACAAGACACTACTCACACACTGACATGATATACACAAGACACTACTCACACACCGACATGATATACACAAGACACTACTCACACACCGACATAATATACACAAGACACAACTCACACACCGACATGATATACACATGACACAACTCACACACTGACATGATATACACAAGACACTACTCACACACCGACATGATATACACAAGACACAACTCACACACCGACATGATATACACAAGACACAACTCACACACTGACATGATATACACAAGACACAACTCACAACCCTTATGATATATACAAGACACTACTCACACACTGACATAATATACACAAGACACTACTCACACACCGACATGATATACACAAGACGCTACTCACACACCGACATGATATACACAAGACACAACTCACACACCGACATGATATACACAAGACACAACTCACACACTGACATGATATACACAAGACACAACTCACAACCCGTATGATATATACAAGACACTACTCACACACTGACATAATATTACACAAGACACACTACTCACACACTGACATGATATACACAAGACACAACTCACACACTGACATGATATACACAAGACACACTACTCACACACTGACATGATATACACAAGACACAACTCACACACTGACATGATATACACAAGACACACTCACACACTGACATGATATACACAAGACACAACTCACACACCGACATGATATACACAAGGTACAACTCACACACTAACATGATATACACAAGGCACAACTCACACACCGACATGATATACACAAGACACTACTCACACACCGACATGATATACACAAGACACAACTCACACACCGACATGATATACACAAGACACACAACTCACAACCCGTATGATATATACAAGACACTACTCACACACTGACATAATATACACAAGACACTACTCACACACCGACATGATATACACAAGACACTACTCACACACCGACATGATATACACAAGACACAACTCACACACCGACATGACATACACAAAAGACAACTCACACACTGACATGACATACACAAGAACACAACTCACACACTGACATAATATACACAAGAACACACTACTCACACACTGACATAATATACACAAGACACAACTCACACACTGACATGATATACACAAGACACTACTCACACACCGACATGATATACACAAGACACAACTCACACACCGACATGATATACACAAGACACTACTCACACACCGACATGATATACACAAGACACTACTCACACACTGACATAATATACACAAGACACTTCTCACACACTGACATAATATACACAAGACACTACTCACATACTGACATGATATACACAAGACACAACTCACACACCGACATGATATACACAAGACATTACTCACACACTGACATAATATACACAAGACACTACTCACACACCGACATGATATACACAAGACACTACTCACACACTGACATGATATTCACAAGAACACAACTCACACACTGACATGATATACACAAGACACAACTCACATACCGACATGATATACACAAGACACAACTCACAACCCGTATGATATATACAAGACACTACTCACACACTGACATTATATACATAAGGGACAACTCATGCACCGACATGATTTATACACAAGACACAACTCACACACCGACATGATATACACAAGACACAACTCACACCCCGTATGATATATACAAGACACTACTCACACACTGACATGATATACATAAGACACAACTCACACACCGACATGATATACACAAGACACTACTCACACACTGACATGATATACAAAAGACACTACTCACGTACCGACATGATATACACAAGACACTACTCACGTACTAACATGATATACACAAGACACTACTCACGTACCGACATGATATACACAAGACACTACTCACGTACTGACATGTTATACACAAGACACATTTCACACCCCGTATATATATACAAGACACTATTCACACATAGACTTGATATACATAAGACACAACTCACGCACCGACATGATATACACAAGGCACAACTCACGTACTGACATGATATACACAAGACACAAATCGATCCCACGCAACTCGTCTAAAATTACTTACACAAATGACACTACTAACAAATTGACCTGACACACATGGCGTTACTTACACAATGACATGATATACACAAGACACAACTCACACACTGACATGATATACACAAGACACAACTCACACACTGACATGATAAACACAAGACACAACTCACACACTGACATGATAAACACAAGACACAACTCACACACTGACATGATAAACACAAGACACAAACACGATAGTTCTCACATACCAACCGTTACACACAGGACGTTACTCACACAATGACACGACACAAGACACTATTCATACACTAACCTGTCACACACAGGGTATTACTCACAGTCTGAACTGACACACAAAGGCAACTTTTTTTTTCGATTTCGACGTGAATTTGAAACTAATATAAATATAATATATATGATAAATATATGATTTATATTAGTTTCAAATACACGTCGAAATCGAAAAACGTCAGATAAATATGTTATATATACATTGTATAATATAATTATAATTATAATGATAATGATAATTATAATATAATATAATTGGATGATTATAATTATTTTAATGACTGAAGAACTCATAGTGATGCTATAGATGAAAATGATTATATTGATACGTGGCTGATAATGATTTGTAGATGATGGTGATGATGATGATATTGAAGATGATGAACATGATAAATATTTTAGTGACGATTGTAATCGAGGTGATGATTATTATAATTTTGATGAAGTTGATGATGATGATATTTACGATTTTGATGTTGGAGTTGATCATGATTTTAATGATAAGACATTAGAGGTGATGACAATTTTGATGATGATTGTCGTGATGATAATTTCAATAATGGTGATGATTGAGGTGATTCGATGATAATAGGCGTGATAGTGTTTTAATAATGATGATGATTTTGATGATTAGATTTGACATTTGAGGTGTTGACATGTAATTTTTTGTTGCTGTCACTTAGCCTTGTAATAAAATAAAAGAACAGCGGTTTTGTTGTTTATTTGTTTCCAATTAATGGAGTTCCAATTTGTTAATGATTACGACCATTTTTTCTTGTATCGGATCAGCACTGTTCCTGGAAGCTGACCACTCCTTATTCGCTCATTTATTTAAATTATTATTTTAATTTTTAAATCTTTTAACTTTTCTCAAGTGTAATTTTCTTAAAATGTTTTGGCTTAACTAAAGGCCTGCAAAAAAGAAGGAAAATTAAAACCAGAAACATGGGTTTGGATGTAAAAATAATTTTATATGAAAAACAGCATGCATAACTGTCGGTACTTAAGATCTGTTATGATTTGACATGTATACATTTAAGGATAAAACTCAACGAGCCTTTTGCAAGGGATGTTTCACTTTATTTTGAATATCAAACTTCTATCATTTTATTGACAATCTAAAAGTTCCATTCCCATCTTTGTCGGAGTTGATTCAAGAGTAAAATGTTCAAGTTATAACTGCTGTTTAAGTCATCCTTGAGTAAAATTAAACAGAACAGCATCACCGGCAGATGGTATATAGGAACTGACACCTGGAAAATAAATGATATTTTTTGTTTTATTTAACAATGTAAATTAAGTCAATGTCACCTCTTTTATCCGGGTGATGTCGTATTGTCGCTTTGTTGCTTTGTTGCCTCGAAAATGCGAAAAAGCAAAAACACGAAGTTGGACTTTGTCGTCTCTTCGTGTTTTCCTTTTTCACATTTTCGAGGCAACAAAGCGAAAATACGACAGAAGGGGGGCGAAAATACGACACATAAGATCTGTCGTATATTTGCATTCCATCTGTCGTATTTCGCTTTTTCGCATTGTTACATTTTCGCTTTTTCGCATTGCTACATTTTCGCATTTTCGCTTTTTCGCATTGTTACATTTTCGCATTTTCGCGTTCCAGATGCATATGAGCATGGAGACATCAATTTGAAAATACCTAAACGTTACAGCTAATGACATTTTTGGTACCATTAGTTTATTGTTTCCCTGCGTTAAGTACCGTGAACTAAGAGAAGCACAGTATAATACAATATGATCTAAATACAATATATTTATTGATTTTTTTTATGAATTTTTATTGTTCTCCTTTTATTGATATTCGTGCAATATGGGGAAGACAGAATGACCATCAAGAGATCTTTGTTTTAATGACCCGAGGAACGCCTGACAACATAGTATAATGTAATAATGAATAAAAATGATTTTTAATATTATGACATAAATTTTAAATGAACTTAATCGAACATGCACTCTATGTAATCAAATAAAGTATGTCTTAAAGGGAGACACAGGCAAATTTTTCATATCTTTGATTAGAATTTTTCATCCAATATTCACTAAATGTCCTCGAAATAAATACACTAAGCAGTCACAAGAACAAAAAATTTCTCCATATAAAGAAACAAATGTTGGTTTCCTAACCTGACCCACATGGGTCAAGTTAAAGCATTTAGATTTAACGAAAGTTATCACAGTGAACTATGGAAACGGTAAAGTACCTGTTAAATGAACGACTTAGACTTGTTTCAATCTTGCAATATCCACAATATCTGTTTTTTTTTAATTCCAGGGTTTGTTATTGTCATATGACTTGTTTTAAAACTACTAATTGATTCTTAATTTTGTTCAACATATGTATATCATTTACGTTTCAAACTCACATTATATAGTATTAATAAAGAGAAAACATTCTGAGACTTTTAAAAACTTCATTTTGCAAAAAGGCGAAAATGCAACAATGCGAAATTGTAACAATGCAAAATGCAACAATGCGAAATTGTAACAATGCAAAATGTAACAATGCGAAAAAGCGAAAATGCAACAATGCGGAAATGTAACTATGAGAAAATGCGAAGAGACGACAAAGTTATACTTTGTCGTCTCTTTGTGTTTTCGCATTTATGTATTTTGAACTCGAAAAAGCGAAAATACGACAGATGGAATGCGAATATACGACAGATTTTATGTGTCGTATTTTCGCCCTTCTTCTGTCGAATTTTCGCTTTGTTGCCTCGAAAATGCAAAAAACGAAAACACGAAGAGACGACAAAGTCCAACTGTCGCATTTTCACATTTTGAGGCGAAGAAGCGAAAATACGACATGGCGTAAATCAGCCACCATATATTTCATTTCTTACAGACAGATAGTTATAACCAAACACTTAAAAAAGATTACTTGTCCAAATGCAAATGTTGACATTAGTAAACTTTATACATTTTATAAAATCTTTATATGCTAATATGCTACTGTAGAATATACAGTTAGTTGATGCTATTTTAAGCTAATGAACAACCGGTTTATTAATAGGCGGATAAGATACAGATGGAGGCTTTTTTAGATGTCGCTAACAAATGGAGTATAGTCATCTATGAAAACAAAACTATTGGTCACAAAGCTAAATGATTATTCTCACCAACATCCAGAGGTCCAGACGAATTAGAAATCTGCCAGTATGTTTTGTTGACAGTGTAAGTTCCTGTAAGGTCATGAATCATTTCCACAAAGTAGCCATAAGGGGCAGTAAATTTCGCTCTGAAACTGGAAGTAATATTGTAGTAAAGCCCTTTATTTGAATAGATCTTCTCTAACAATGATATAAATGTTTGGATTAAACTGAATTTTAAATCTTCTCAAAATCCGTCCCGAGACGTGAATATCGCGGGGACGGCACACACGAAGTCAAGGTCAAGTCATCCCTAGTACATAGTATGATCGGTTGACATGTCGTGACTGACTCGTTTGGGTGTTGTCCCACAAAGGGTCTGTTTGAAAGAAACCTTGATGTTGTTGTCATCTCCTCCTGCTTACACATACATAAAAAGTACATGATTTGCGTAGAACAGCGTGAAAAAGACTTTCCCGATGAGGCAGAAGATGCGAATCTGTAAAGCCCCCGGCAGTTTGAAACATATGCTTTATTCCGGAGCCAAGAATAAATAAACTTAAAACACACCTGATTTTTTTTCTTACAACAACCTTAAAATTTGACATGGCGGGATGATCGTGTGGTAAAGCTGTCGGGGTCTCTTTCCGAGTTGGTTCAAAACCCATCGCAAGCCGTTGACAGTTTGAACAAGAAGATTTGCACTCATTGTTCAGTCCAGAAACGTGATTTAGAGCTAAAAGTTTTTTTTTATACGCAATCGAACTAAAGTAAATTCTGCCTAAACCAATAGCCTTTAAACAGAAACATACTTAATGTAACCTAATTGAGTAACCTCAACAAGCATTATATCATTACTTGGAAGGAAAATTCTACCATAGGAAGTATATATTACATTACTGTTGACAATGATTTGCAAACCAAAAAAATTACGAGCACATACTTTACAAACTCCTTTGGTTTTTGTAACACCGACTGTTCCATGTATCTTATCATCGTTACACGTGGATATACCCGTAACACGATACTCGCTCTGAAGTATGGGGATTGAAGCTGATTGTTGATAGTGTACTTAAACTGTCTCTTACATGATGGTCCGTTCTCTAAACAGTCATGTTTTCTGAAATGCAATGTTTATAATAAAGCTCTTATCATTCGGCACTTTAGATTTAGATTATTGGATATGTTATTTGACAGAACACTAATATGAATATTTGTTATAATTTTTCGATTTTCTATAAATGGAACATTTAAAGATACAGACAGGCTGATCGACGGATGAACATACATGTGAAAATATTTATGGTTAATTTTACAAAACAAAAAAATATCGATTAAGACAAGTAACGGCATGAATGTAGATGTTAAATAAAAATGTTCATATAAATCACTTTTACTTACTGTTTGCTCCACGACACAGTTATTGTTAAACAGAGAACAAAAATGATACATTTCATGTCCATTGTCGTTTCCTAATGTTTTAAGCAATATGTTGTGCAATTAATAGTTATATACATTAAATGTGTTTAAATATTAACCACGCGTGAAACATCAAACCCGGATATAATTGTTTAAATCAAGATAAACATTCACAAAACTTAACATGTAGGCGTTGCACTTAAGACTTTTGATATGAAAGACCGGTGGGGACATTTCAACTTCATGTTTTCCAAATTTCGACTTCACGAATTTACGATTTCAACTTAATGAATTCCCGATTTCAGCTTCCCGAATACTAAGAGAAGTCACGATTTGAACTTCACGATTTCAGCTCCGTGGATTCACGATTTCAACTTAACAAATTCACACTTTCAACTTCACGAATTCTCGGTTGAAACAGTCATTAAATTAGTCATGTTTTGAACTTCACGGTTTCAACCTTACGATGATGAAGTTTAAATCGTGTATTCATGAAGTTGAAAGCATATATTCGTGCAAATTAAATATTTCATTCGTGAAGTTGAAATTGTAATCCATGAGTTGAAAACGTAAATTCCCGAAGTTAAAATTGTAAACTCACGAAGTTGAAATCGAGAATTCATGAAGTTGAAATGTCCCGAGCGGTTTTTCGTAATTGCATTATTGATTGTTTGCATTTCAGTGGTTCAGCGGTGCAGTTAATGAGATAAGTGTAAATTCAGGAATGCTAAGATTGTTAAAAAGTAAGATTAGTTTGATATTAGATTATATCATTTGTGATAAGTATGTTGATGAAATTGACGACGATTTATATACATTGGATAGACCTTTTTACGGAGAAGGGAAGTAACTCGCATTGTAATAAATTTTAGATCTATGTAAAGCCACATCAGTTAAAACTGCAAATGGTCGTTTAGGCGCAGATTTTGGTTTAGGAGCGTATACTTGTTATAATAAAAATGGCGCTAGCGTAATCGATTATTTATTGTTAAAAAAAAATATTTTGATTTGATTGTAAATTTTTCCATTATGCTATTTAATGAATTTAGTGACCACGCACCTTTGACATTCAATATTTTATGTCAAATGGATTTAACTACGCCAAACTGTTTTAATTTTGAATATGTTAAATGGAATCACGAAAATAAAGAGTTATTTATGACAGGCCTTACAGAAAAACTGCCTGAAATAATTCCTTATTAGAGAGAAATGAAGATGTAAATACTACCATTGAGTCCTTTACCACAAGGTTTACAAATGTCCAGATCCATTATTTGTTAAACATGTCACATCATCACGTAAATTTGAAAAATATGAAGTAGAAGATAGCAGTAAATGGTTTGATTCTGAGTGTAAAGAAGCAAAAAGATTGTACAGAAATGCATTAGTTATTTATAATGATACACACAGAGATGTTGACAGGTTAGAATTATGTAGATTAAAACAAAATTATAAAAAATATTGTCAAAACGAAACAGAGAAAATATGAATTTAAAAGATGTCAAGATTTTGAGTCACTTAAAAGATCTAAACCAAGAGATTTCTGGCATTACTTTCGTAATAAGAGAAACTGTGTTAGCCCGGATGTACTCTTGGAAGACTTTAAAACAACATTTTGAATCCATATTTTCTGATATTTTCTGATGTTAATCATATACCACATACTGAAGCGGAAGAATTTAACGCTTCTCATAATTTTGATGATGTAAATTTTAATTTTGATTGTTTAGATAGAAATATTACATTTGAAGAAGTTTGTAAAGCAATTTCGTTACTGAAATGTAGAAAATCTCCCGGCGAAGATAATCTTCTAAACGCATATTTTATCGAAGGTTGTGGTATTTTAGCTGGACATATTACTGAATTATTTAATAAAATTTTCAACTCCAGTGTATTTCCGAACGCTTGGACAAAAGGTATAATTATTCCGTTTCATAAAAGGGAGATAAATGTGATGTTAAGAATTATCGAGGCATTACTTTATTAAGTAATTTTGGAAAAATTTTCACATGTGTTTTAAACCAGCGGATAAGTGCCTAGTGCGAGGAAAATGACGTCATATCAGACGCCCAATTTGGTTTTAGAAAGGGTCGTTCGACTACTGATGCTATTTTTATTTTACACTCTCATACAACAAATTTATTTAGGACAATAACAGATTATAGTGCAGTTTTATTGATTTAAAACGTTGCTTTGATTCAATTTACAGAAATGCTCTTTGGTGGAAGCTTTACAAAAGTGGGTTCAATGTTACGTATCATACGAAATATGTACCAGTCAGTAAAATCGTGTGTTAAATCTTGTAATACTTATTCTGATTATTTTTGATATTTCAATAGGTCTAAGACAAGGGGAGATAATTTCGCCAGTTATGTTTTCCTTATTTGTAGAAGATTTGGAACTGTTTTTACAAGAAAGAATAAATTATGGAGTAAATTTTCAAGATATTTGTTTAATATTATTGCTCTTTGCAGATGGCATGGTCATCTTAGGTCTTACTCCACAAAACTTACAAAACTCTTTAAACAAACTTTATGAATATTGAGGTTAATGTTCCAAAAACAAAGATATTTGTGTTCAGAAAAAGAGGCCGATTGAAAAGTGACGAACATTGGTTTTATGCAAATGAAGAAGTAGAAGTTGTAAATGATTTCAACTATTTAGGTATTACATTGTACATTAAATTACACTGGGAATTTTATCTTAAATACACAAACATTGTATGGAAAGGGATTAAAGGCAATGAATGGTCTTTTTTCAAATTTAAAAAGATACAATACTTAACCAAAATTAGCCTTACTATTATTTGATGCTTTTGTTTCATCTATTATTACGTACGATTGTGAAATATGGGGCTTCACTAAATCAAAACAGCTAGAAACATTACATTTGAAATTTTGTAAAACATTACTTGGTGTGCGCCGCTCTTCTTGCAATGTAGCTATTTATGGGGAATTAGGAAGGTACCCTCTATATATTAACAGATATATACGTATTGTTAAATGTTGCTATAAAATATGTAACAGCGAAAATTTGATTATAAAATTTATCGTTGACAGTTCCATTGCTGATGCTGAAATGAATAAGCCAAATTGGTTTTATAATGTTAAATGTATGTTTGCCAGATATGGATTTTTAGAGACATGGAAATTTTTTCGTAATATTAATATTGCTAATTTCATTTCAACATTTAAGCAGAGACTGATTGATGAATTTGTGCAGGATTGTAAAGGAGTTATGGAGAGAAGTAGTTCTCTATTAGTTTATAAAAATATTAAAGATTCGTTTGCTTTTGAACCATTTTTAGATAAGATTACTTCAAGAAACCTTAGGACTGCTTTTACAAAAACTACGTATTTCAGCCCATAGTCTCCGTATCCAAACTGGTGGGTTTGCAAATAATCAAATAGATAGAGATCTTCGTTATTGTCAAATCTGTTACGTAAACGTAATCGAAGATGAATACCATTTTGTTTTTGTTTGTCCACAATGCAATGTAGTTCGTCAAAATTATATAAAGAAATTTTACAGACAAAAACCAAGTATGTTTAAATTTGTTAACCTTTTAAATAGTCAAATGTTTTCAGAATTACTTACATTTAGCAAATATATTTTCGAGGCTTTTAAAATTAGAAATCAAATTCTTTCAAATGTTCCAATGCAATTTTTTGAATTATGGTAATTCATTTACAATAATATTATAGTCACATTTTAATGATTCCCTTTTTGAACTGTTTAGGTATTATATTATAGTTCCTACTTTCCATTTTAAGTATCTGTGGAATTCAAACATTATCACATAATGCAAGTACGTGTTTTTTTTCTCTTCTTTGTTCTTTAACATGCAATTACATGTTGCTTTTTTGTTTTTCATTATATAACTTATGCATGTTGTTTCTTAAGAAAATATTAGTTCATCCATTATTGTGTTATACATAATTATTTCATTCACTTTTCATCCTATATGTATCGTTCAATATTATATTATATGTATTATTCATTGTTAAACACTAGAAACTGTAAGGTTTACGTGTAATAAAATCTGTTCTGTTCTGTACTGATATTGGAGAAAAAGTATTAAACATTATTTTGGTTCATTGTTTATTTTATTTTTTTTTCTATTTTTATGTATTTTTGGTAGATATATGATAGAGTTAAAAATCATGTCAATGAGCATTGGATATATATGTAAATTTGTGGAGTATTGAACCATAACTACAATATCGTAAATGGACTTGTTTATCTCTTTCACTTCTAATACAGAAATTTGTTATATATGTTTAACATACGAGGCGTGTTAAAATATGAATACATCTAAGCACGTAAAATTTGAATCTTTATATGTTTCACGACATATTATTTATTTTGTTCCCTCCCCAACAGATATACAAAGTTTCAGTCTCCGGATTCAATCTATGAAGGCAGTTACATAGTCTTTGAGGTAAACTATGACGACAGTGGAATATTACAGAACCGAGGTATTTGCGTTGAAAAAACTTTCGACCTGAAAGGCAAAAAGAAGTCATAAGGGCAAGGTCAGGTGAGTATGAAGGATAGGGAGCACAACGACTATTTTCTGCATTTGAAAGTCTTATACTATAGACACCATGTGTGATGGTGCGTTTGTCATGCAGCAGTCTGACACCAGCAGATGTCTTCGTTTGCAGGTCTTCGTGCTCGAAAGTATTGTTTAAAGAACTTTTGTCTTATAAACATTTACATTGACAGACTGGATGGCGGGACTCTGAGTTTTAAAGAAAATGGCTAATTACCTTTTTCTGATAGTTCCTTTTCAAATGCATAGTAGTTTGCCAGTCTTTGTAGCTCAAATCTTATTTTGCTGTTTTTGATTTGGCTCATAAAAAATGAACCCATGTTTCGTCCAATATGGCGACATTTGTAAAAGACCGCGCAATGAACAACAGCATAGCGCATTGCACGCGAGCCTTTTTTTTGACTCATCTGTCAGCAAATGGGGAATCCATCTAGCACAGATCGTTCTTATTTTCAAATCACGTTTGAGAATGGTGTTAACTGTTCCAAATAAAATGCTAACGATACCAGCTATTTGCCTAGTGGCGTATCTTGTATCTGTTTGACAGACGTTGCCTTTTTAAACTAACGGGTATGGGGTGCATCTTCAGTCTAAATTAACCCT